ACACGTTCTGTAAGCAAACACTTGCTCGGCCATGTTACTCTTCAATTTACTGCCAACATACGAAGATGTCCATGGCGACGTTTCCATTTCAGCCGCGCATTTCAAACTACGCAAATGTCCTGGCGTTTTATTAATAAAGGAAAGTTGCGATCTATTCTATAACTTCTGTTTTTTTTTTCTTTTTTGGTACCTCACTTCTTTAAAACAGTTCACTGGTAGACGAATAAATTGGACATCAAAATCGGCCTCCTTACAGCTTTAATGTATATGATGAAAAGAAATTGGTTTTCATGGAGTTTTCCATGTCAAATAAACAATTCTGTACTGTTTTGAAAATGAACAGTGAACAAATGACTGATGTTAAGGTAACAACATTTTCAGGTCACTCAATTCAGTAAAAACCTCAAATCGAAAGTCCATTTAAATTAATTAAGCACGAAATTAAATTCATTATACACTGCGTTCATAATTCTTTCAAATTCAGTTAGCCTTCGTACTATTCGTCGTGTATCGTATTTCGCTATGTTCATTCCCGCCTGAGACATGGCATAATATTCTGGGGAAATACTTCTTATAGCTTTCAGAGTTTTAGTTTACAAAAGCGAATTGTATGAATAATAAGCAAATCCTACCTACGAGATTCTGATAAACCTCTCTTTATTAACCTGGGAATATTACCATTACTTTGTCTCTTGAAATATGAATCGGTGCCTTTTGTTATATTCAACAATAATTGAGAGCTAGAATTCTGAAAGTGTTCAGTGACAATATCTACAAAAATGAGTTGTTTTCTTTCATACATAAAAGTGCTGTAATTCGTGTCCAAATTCCAGATAAAAGCGCTTGTACGTCCTCTTCGAGTACCAATTTATACCGATGGATGGTCACGAATGGTCATGGCCTCTTCGAAGTGGCGACTGCCACATTATTTAGTATCAGCATTATCAAAAACAAACGAGGGGTGCTACAGAATGGCGCAGACTTTCCCGTATTACTTTTCTATTTTCTTTGATCTCGGCTAGATATGCAGTCTTGCCATACTCTTCCCAGCTGCCACTTATCGCCGCCCAAAGCACATTTTTTGACATTTTCTCGATATTTCGGTTTTCTAATAGTAGAACCGATATATTACTTTAGAAATATTAAAGAAGAGTAAAACCTGGTCCTAAATAGCAATTTTGACTGAAAAATTTGTAGCTTTTTTAAAAAAAGAAAATGGCGTTTAAGAGTCACTGTAAATGCTAAATTTCAATGTCTTTTTCACAGATATATTTTGAGTTCTCTAAAAACTTCATTAAAAGTCTTTTGAAGATCTTTAACTTACAAATGCAATAGTGATTACACATCGCTGGAAATGGAAGCATTAACAGCGTGAGAAATAGTTCAAAAAATTACATTTCTGTATTTAAAAAAAAACACGAAAGAATACCCCAAAATAAACTATATGTCATAATAAATAGTGCAATTAAACACTATCCATTGGAAAAGTTTGAAGAAAAATTTGGGGCCCATTTTTGTGAAAATGACATTTGAGCGTTTCTGAAAATGCGAAATTTTGAGTTACTTTTCACGGAGTAGTTTTCGAGAAACTTTATTTGACATCATTTAATGCAGATGTAGAAATAAATATAACAATGTGAACAAATACCCGCTAATGTAAGTATTAACGATGTCAGAAAGAATTTAAAAATTTACACTTTTGTAATTTTTGAATAAACAAAATAATAGAGTAATATTGCGATCATGTCATCTTATAGGGTGCATTTAGCACTATACCTACCAAATCTTTGAAGACAAAATTTGGAGTTGTAAACAAGAATGTTTTTGTTATTTTTTAATATTGCACATATTGCACGCAATATTGCTCGTAAACTACAAAAAATTTAACAAAATGTACGTGTCATTAATGAATGGCCTAATCATGGGCAATAAATGTCATTGGAATGGAAAATCTCTATTTTCAAGTTTGTAGTTGTAGGAAGATGCGGAAAAAATTTAAACTTCTGCAATTTTCAAAAACTTAGAGTTAACCGTGAAAATCGGACCTATGCTTTAGAAGCGTATTTTGCTCTATTTTTACAAGAAATATAGTGAAAAAATTTGTCGCCGTTTTTGAGAAAATGTTTGAAAAATCCCAATGGACTTCATGTGAAGTACTCTCAAAATTTAAGGCATGTTTTTCAAAATCCCAAAGCTTCGACTCGAACCAGATGAACAGGAATTTCTTCAATTTGGAAAAAAACCTACACATGGTTTAGATACTGATGGTGTGGACAGGCGGACAGACGGACGGACGGAGAAACAAACGGACAGACGGACAGATGGACAGACGTTTATTTACAGGGAACCCCAAAACGTGTATTTCCGTTGAAATCTCGAAATCGATTTTCCGTATCATTAATAACTTTCTCTATACTACCTATATTACTCTGTATATACGTACGTATACGAGAAAGTAATAAGTTTGAAGTTGTAAACTTTTTGAACATGTGATCATTTATAGTCTCTTTAATTTCAATAAAATAAATATTACCAAATCATCCTGTTTCTGAGCAGATGTGAGAAATCCTGAAAAGTTTTAATGAAAACAACTTTCAGCGTTTGAAAGACTGTCATATGTGACAACTAATGTGCCACAGAATGGCATAGACTTTGTAGCATTAGTTTCCTATTTTTTGGGGTCTGGGCTAGCTATTCTGATTTGCCCCATCCTCTTGCCAGCTGCCGTATATCGCCGCCCAAAGTACTTTTTTTATTTTCTCAATTTTTCGCTTTTCTAAAGATAGAACTGAATTATTTCTTTAAGAATATTAAAAAAAGAGTAAAAACCTCGTTCTAAATGGCAATTTTCATTGAGAAAGTTTGAACCGTTTTTAAGAAAAAGAATGCGAAATTTGAACGTCTTTTCACATAAATTCATTGAGTTTTCGAAACACTTCATATGAAGTCATTTAAAGCAGTTCCAGTCACAAATGTAATAGTGCTTACAAATAGCTGGAAATGTGAAATTTAAAGGCTTGAGAGACATATCAAAACAATTATATTTGAGTAATTATTGAAGAAACAAAAGAACACCGCAACATCAATTCTATGTCACCTTTAACAGTGCAATCAGCACTATTACTTGAAAAGTTTTGAAGAACAATTTGGTGAAAATGGCGTTTGAGTGTTTCTGAAAATACGGACTTTGGACCTCATTTTAAGAGAAAAGTGTCGAGTTTTCAAGAAAATTTATGACATTATTTAAAGCACATGTACTCATAAATGCATTATTATGAACAAATCGCTGCTAATGTAAATATTAATGACCTGAGAGTCATGTCCAAAATGTTTTTGTATTTTTTTGGAAACAAAATAAAGCAATATGCTGTTTACAACATATTACAGAGTGCATTTAGCACTATCCTTAGCAAAAGTTTAAAGAAAAAATTTGGAACTGTTTTAGAGAAAATCTTGTTTTTGTAATGTTTTAAAATTGCAAAAACTTGCACGCAATATTGCGCAAAAACTACTTCAAGTTTCAAAAAATGTTCTTGATCTTTAAGAAAGAACTAATTATGGACAACAAACTTCATTTTAAGGAAAAATATCTATCTTCAATTTTGTAGTTGCAGGAAGGCACAAAAAAATCATACTTTTAAAATTTTCGAAAATTTGGAGTTCATGTTGCAATGTACTTTTGTATATTATTATTTTGTTTATTATTGTCAGAGCAAGCAATACAAAATTAGCATTTCTTAATAATGTACTACAGTATGTACGTCGTAATATGGAATACATAAACATGTAGTATGATATCGATTAATTAAACTTAATTGGTCTTCCTTGTTTAATCATCATGTCATCTTCATAGTTACCATAACGTTAAATCCAATAGTGGCCGCTCACAGAGCCGAAAACCTCGAATTAACAATTTTGCAACGATTTACAATTTTATAAACTAATTCGAAATATGAGCTACAACGGCCGGAAAGGATCCGCAAATTGTGCCTGAGATTAACATTTTAATGTAATAGTTTGACAGAGTTACAAATTGATTGCTAAAATTTAGTATAATTGTTTCTAACATGCTATATATTCACAGGTCTATTGACAGTAATTCGGGACGGAAAACACCCACTCAAAAATATTATTTGCATCTTGGCGTATGCGCAGGATAAATCTTCAGCAGGGAAACATGACGTACGTAAACAGTCAAGCAAGTTTTTGCAAATTTATTTTAAAGTACGGTGTGAGGAAAATGAATGAAATCTGCCTCACCATTCACTTGGTGATTCACGTGTTCCCTTTAATGTGGCATTAATCAGCGTTGTCATCCTCGTGAAAGAAAATTATGGCGTCGTGGAGCGATTTATACTCCGGTTACTGGGGTTTAATGAACGACACCTTTATAAATATTTGGGCGGCGTTGATTTAATTCCCGGCATACTCACTAAGATCACAACGCCAAAACGTGCAAAAACACGTTTTTGGAAAATTCTTTGAATCTTCTGGCCAGATCCAAAACAAATTTTCAGTTCCCCACCAAGTCACCAAACACGTCGAATGACACCTCATGCCTCGATTGCTGGAAAAGAAGTTCAATCGTGAGTGACGTATACGCAAACACACCCAAATAAGCACACTCGAAGTTACTCAAAAAATTTTTAGGGATTATTGTTTGAAGCATATTTTTGTGAGGCAAATGACATAACACATTTCTGAAGAAATTCGTATGTGAATATACAGCACTTACCCTAAATTCATATATAAATATTGATGTACTCAACGTTTAGTTTAATATTATTTATGTATGGTTGATATGGTAAATAACCAGGTAAGAATACTTCAATTTGCCTTAGTTCCTTGAATAAAAAGCGACGAACATACGTAGTTAATAACTGCATAATGTGTTCCTAACTAAAACGTTATGTTTTGTAACTTTGAGAATTTGAGAATTCCAATCCTCAGTTATTCTGGATATCGTTGTATGGTAATATCCCCATGTCTTTATGTTACAGGTGAAGTTGTGGCGAAACCTTCATGGGGTAAAGATCAGCCAAATAACTACAATGGCGAGCAGAATTGTGTCGTACTTGATGGTGGTCGTAACTGGTTGTGGAACGACGTTGGCTGTAATCTTGATTACCTTCACTGGATTTGTCAGCACAGTACGTACAATGAATAGTATAGTTTTAAGTGTTTTGTAGCTAAATATTGTTTGTATCATGAATATTGCTTCACTGAAAATAATGAAATGAATAGATTTGTTATTAATTTATATAGCGTACGTTATCATTATATAGTGGACATAGAAATAGCGCATTGGCGTCCCAGTTCAGACAGTATCTCTCTCCTAGAAAGTATTTTGACTTCTATTCAAATAATACAATATCCCTCTTTCGAAACCTATTTATTATTGTCATACAATTAGTTTCGTTGTACATTGAAACTTGTAAGGCTAGGAGTAAGACGCAAAGTGCATCGCACGATGAACGCATTCGTTTCAGAAGAATATTCAGATAACATTTACAAAAAATCGTAATGTATATATCAAAATATGACTACAAAATATAATTACCATGCTTCACTTACATGCCCCAAGATCCTGGTAATTATTATTTGTTATCATTAATTATCGTACAAAAAACTAAATAGAAAAACACGCATTCACTTTAAAAACTAAATAGTAAGTCGATATTACTATTTGTACTTGGGTTTTATTGTTTTCTTTCGTTCAAATTCTTGCTTACGGGAGAACTTCGTCTCGCTTAGAAATCACAGAAACTTAATTATTAACTGTATCTATATCTTGCCGTACTGATATGCATCCCAGGCACCTGTCATCCATTCATCTGTAGTGAAACCACATCCCCTTGTACAATGAAAGTTTAGCGTGAAACATAATGGTCCAACATCCTTTTCATTGTCTCACATTTCATTAGGTAATATTTCACCGTCCAAATACATGTTCGTGGCTCCAGGTCACATTCCTAATTTCCTGATAAGTGATTCGGATTGAATATAGGTATGTTCATTCTCACCTTGACTCTTGCTAAAGAACT